GGACTTGGCTCCCCATCATCTAAAGAAACAGAAGTGAGTTATGAACGCTTTGGCAGTGGAATTGGACTCAGTTTTTCTGCAGGTTATGCCATACCATCATGATAGAGTATGTTGAAAACACTTAAAAATAGCCAAGACTAGTTATTTATAAGTATGTCCTCTAATAACCTGCTGGTTTAGAAAAAAACATTCCCATGACTCTGCTTAGAGCAACAAAGATAAAACAATTCAGACTAGTGATAGACCAGAGACAGGGTTTTTTGCCTACAGTAAAAACTCCAAATTGCCTATAAGTCAGGGAGACTAGAAGTAATCCTTTAAATTACTTAATAGAATGGATAATTGTAATTATTTATAGCATGATGAAGCATAGCCAAGCATTCCCCAAGAGCACCACGCTTGGGAACGCAATGCATGGTGTGCGGATCAGTGCTGGCTCCCTGGAGCATCCCTGAGGCCGTGCAGCACAGCACCAGCCTCCCGAAAGCAGGAGGTGGGAGAGGTGTCTGCAGCCTTCACCGCAGCCTGGAGGGCGAGAGGCTGGGACGGCAGCAGGAGAGCACCTCCAGGCACCGCTGCCCTGTGCTCCCATCACTCCCACGCTCAGCGTCGGATACAGAGACCTCGCTGGGGCAGATGAGGGGTGATGCATGGTGGTCCCTCCTCCCAGGAAGACTAGAGGGAGCTGGGGTCATGCCTGGTTCAGGATGGACCTTTTTGAAAGGACCTCCGAAGACTTTTCAGAACTGTCCACTCAGAAAAATCTGCCTCCGCGTGGGATTTGCTCCAGAGGCAGTTGCCAGTTTTCCGGCACTCGACCTGTTCTGATGCAGTGTCCCACACTCAGCTGCAGCTGTTTCACTGACTCGTGACACATCCCCACAAAACCATCCATAGTGACATGAACTGCCTCAAACAGCTGTTTCCAAAAAAGGCCAAACAGGGCCATTGAGCGGCCGCCCGCAGCCCAGGACACTGCCGCACTGCCCCTCCCGCTGCCTCCACCCAGCCGCTCGAGGCATTTGGGATGCAGCTTCTTTCCACCCACTCCGACAGGTTTTCCCATCAGAGCCATTTCTGGTGTTACAAACACTCAAAATAGAAACCAGTGCGGCAATGCAGCCACCAAATCCATCTGCCTCTGGGGTGTGTTATATGATGGGACCCCAACAACCCTGCTGCAAGAGGATGCTCTCAGAACCCCCCCCCCCGCGGGTACCAAATTAGCTTTATGCTGTCCTGCTGCTTTCCAGTTCCCTGTCTGTGCTGCTGGGGCTTTGCTTACCCCCCTCTCCCCTGCCCCGGACCGTCGAGCTTTCCACAACGCACCTCCTGTGCCAGGGCCAGCTGTGGATTTGTCACAGCCTCACCACCCTCTTAGCCCCCAATACCAAACCACGCACCCAGCTCCGAACAGGCCAAGGCATGCCGAGGGAAGGACTGGTGCTTTGGCACCCCGTGTGGTTTGGGGAGAGGGGGCCGACAGCGGGACACACACAAGGGTGCTGGTGCTGCGAGACATGGGCAGAGCCTCTGCCGGGCGCAGCGCACAGCCTGTTGTGGTGGCTGGCGAGGCAACTGGGCTCTCTTCTGTTACCATGCACCATCAGGACCCATGGCCCCTCACACTGATAACCACAATTAAAGCATGCATCCAGAACCTGCCCACCATGAGGCAGAGGTCTGCAAGGGGATGACAGTCCTGCTCAGGGCTGCAGCCACCCATTTTCCCCTGGACAGAGACGTCCCCGTGCCTGGCCTGCACCATCCACCCGCATAGGGACAGCAGCACCCTGACTTGTGCTACGGTCCCTCCGATTCCCTGTATCCACATCTAGCCCAATGCTATCAACAACCAGGGGAGCCTGATTGCATCATCTGCCACTTTCTTTCCTTGTAGAAAGAGAATCTGAAGGAAGCCATGATTGCGGCAGACTGAAAGCAACACCAGCTGAAGCAGTTGCTGCTGGCACATCCTACGATTGCCCAGACATTCCTTTTTTTTTTAACATGATTGACGAGATCCTGTGACTTAGGGGCCTTACAGTCCCTCTTGTCTCATTACATTTAAATTATTGGCCCAAGCGGCATCCCTGATAAATAAAGGCTGCTTACAAAAAAGTTATGTGTTTATTGGATTTTTACAGTGGAAAAAGGCAATTTTCCTTGGTTGCAGCCTGTATGCCATTTTGGCAGGTTTGTGCTTCATGAACAGCAGTGTGTCTCGCAGCGGGCTCAGGATGAATTGCAATTCATTGTTATGAAACATTTGTCAGTGAGAGTTTGAGGTACAAACGTCCAACCATTGCAGGCCCCTCACACTCATGGTGCTGCCTTCCCTGCAACCAGGGCGGCACAACGGACGGCTCAGAACACCCGGAGCTGGACCCTGGCAATCCGGCGCTTGTGGCAGCCTGCGTGGGGTACAGCCGAGCAAAGCACCGCGGGTACGGGTGCTCGCCCTGTGCTTTGCTCCGCGATCCTGCCACGATCTGTGCAGAAGAGGTGCAGGAGGGCAGGTCACCCGCATTGTGCTGAGTCCTTCCTGAGCGCTCGGTGCTGCAGACTCAGTGTCTGTCAGCGCGCGCGTGCTGCATTCATGAGACAACCCGGCATCGCTCCTGCCAGACACAGAGCCCATTGTCAGCCTTCCCACGCAACAAACAGAGGAAAAGGCTGTTCAAGGTATTTCCTCCCTCCAGGAGCCGGGCGTTTCCATTAATTCTTCTCCATGAGTCAAACTGGCTGTACTGGGTGTCCCTCTGTCCCGGCATCCTGAGGAACATGCGTCTGAATATCTAATTTTATCTAGCTTTTCTAATGCTCTGCCATAGACAGGAGCACAGCGGAGTGGGCAGCTGCGCACCCCCAGCTCGAGCGGCCATGCCCAGGAGCATGCTGGTGGGCTCCCCACTGCAGGCAGCTGGGGAGAAGCCATGGAAAGCCGGGACCAAAAACAAACAGAAGCCTTTTTCACACAAGCGCTGGTTTGACAGATGGGGGAAGGTGAGGAGCAGCTCGCAGGGTGCCGGAAAGAAACAGCCCAGAGCAAAGGGGGGGTCAGTTACAGTAGACAGTGCAGAGGTCCCACGATCTATCCCCCCATCTAACAGCCATCCCCATCGCTCCAAAAAACTACTCTTGCAACCGTCCTGATGATGGGAAGATGGCATTGGAACAAGTCAACAGTGCAGCTCAGCCTGTCCACTGTGTTCAGACGGAGGTGGGGATGTTCCCCAGGGTCTGAACACCCAGTACTGTGACCTTCTAATTTCTGGTGAAATCAAATACACACAACATGAGCAGAGTCCAAAGAGGAGCTGAGCCAGACCTCACACGGCAGTGTTTCTGTGCGAAGGGACAGGGTGCTCCAGTCAACGGCAATACCTCCCAGTCAAGTTTCCCTTCCCATGCCATTGAGCAATACGGCAAGTTAAAAATTGACTGTTCAGCTGAACTGCACATCTGTTTTGCCCGGAGGTACAGACTCTTCTTTGCAAACAGGCGGTTCAGTCCTGGGTGCACCTAGGGAAGCCAGTACTCACAGGCAAGCACCTGAGCACAAGGCATCTGCTGGCCCAGGGCAAGGCAAAAGCCAACCCCCTCTCCTGCCTGCCCACCCATCCCCGGATGGCACAAGGGGAGAAATCAGAGGCTGGCAGCAGCTCTGCTCAGGAGCGATGGGCGGTGAGCAGGAAGAAAAAAGACTTTTCTGCTTGCATGGCTAAACTTCAGCGGGAACGACGCCTAACCAGTGCCAGACCCGACTGGCTTCAGTGCAGTACCCCGGCACACCACCCACCCACGAAGGGCTCGGGGGAAACCCCTCCCTCCCACGGAAGCCTGGAAAGGCACAGGGATAGATAGCGGCTGGGGTGGAGGTGGCCCAGCCTTGCAAGTGGGCAGACAGACCTGTCCAGCCTTCCCAAGCCAAGGAGGAGTGCGAGTGCCACAGTGCCCAGGCAGGCAAACCTGGCTCAGCATCAGAGGGTACAGCACAGGGCAGGACCACCTGCTTGTAGAAAAAGGCACAGACGAAGTGTGTTTGTTTATTTCATCTGTGGCTGCAAAAGGAAAACCTCCACTATAAAGCGTTTTAAATGTGAGTGAAGAGCTATAAAGCAGTGAGATTTATAGTTGGGTTAGTATGGTTTTCACGGAAAAGAGGTGGTCTGCGGTTTCAAAGCACAAATGCCTCACGTGCAGAAAAATGGTGCTACGGTGTCACTTTGAAGTGATAGACAAGGCTATTTATGAGAAGAAATACTGTAGCCAACAAGAGGTGGCACAGTTACTATATATCTTTGCTAAAAAATAAAAGTTAGGCTATGACGGAATCTTAATACACAGTCCTGAAAAAAACTCTTATCTCCATTGAGCTGTACACCGAATTGGTGCACATGGCACGGCATGACGATGCTCTCTGCTGTGGTAAGCAGTGAAGTCATCCCTATCCAACAGTAAGCACTTCAGAAGCCACTGCTTACAAGGGATGCCAAGGTACCAAGATATTTCTAAAGCATCAAAACTTAAGTGCCATCTCTTACAGGATTAGTT